TCTTCTGCTTCTGTATTCTGGAAGAAATCATAGAGAATTGGTATAATTTCTTCCTCAAAAATTTGGTAGAATTCACCAGTGAATTCAGCTGGCCTGGGTGTTTTGTTTCAGAAGGTTCCTTTTGTTTACTGATTGAATTTCTTTAATAGATGTTGGCCTATTCATGTTACCTATTTCTTGTGTGAATTTTGGCAATTATTTCTTTCTAGGAATAGGTCCATTTTACCTAGGTTATCAAATTTGTGGTCATAGGGTTGTTCATAACCTTTGTTATCTTTTTCATGTCTGTGGGATCTATAGTGATGTCTCCTCTTTCATTTCTGATATTGGAAATCTGTGTCTTTTTTTTCTTAGGCTTCATGAGCTAGAGGCTCATCAATTTTATGATCTTTTCAAAGAACCAGCTTTTGGTTTCATTGATTTTTCTTACTGATTCCTGTTTTCAATTTCATTGATTTCTGCTCTTTTATTATTTTTCTTTTTATGCTTGCTTTAGATTTAATTTGCTCTTCTTTTCTAGTTTCCTAAGGTGGAAGCTTAGATTACTGATTTTAGATCTTTCTTCTTTTTATGCATTCAGTGTGGATAAACTTCCCTCTAAGCACTGCATTTGCTACATCTCACACATTTTCAGAAGTTGTATTTTTCATTTTCAGTTAGTTCAGTATATTTTTTAAATTTCTCTTGAGATTTCTTCTTTGGCAATGTGTTTAATCTCCAGATATGTTGGGCTTTTCCAGTTATCTCTGTTGTTGATTTCTAGTTTAATTCTGTTATAGTCTGGAACAGACAGTGTATGATTTCTGTCCTTTGAATTTGTTAAGGTGTGGTTTATGGCCTCAGATGTGGTCTGTTTCGCCATGTGAGCTTGAAAAGAATGTGTGATCTGCTACTGTTATGGAGTAGTCTATAGATGTCATTTATATCTGGTTGGTTGATGGTGCTTTTGAGTTCAGCTGTGTCTTTCCTAATTTTCTGCCTGTTAGATCTGTCCATTTCTGATAGAGGAGTGTTAAAATATTAGATTAATTAATTTTTTTCTTGCAGTTCCATCAGTTTTTGCCTCACTTATTTTGATTCTCTGTTGTTAGGCACATATATATGAAGGCTTATTGTGTCATCTTAAGAGTATTGACCCATGTATCTTGGAGTAGTGACTTATTTGTCCCTCAGTGATACCCCTCTTCATCCCTGATAACTTTCCTTGCCTTGAGGTCTGCTCTGTTGGAAATTAATATAGCTGCTACCTCTTTCTTTCCCTCCCTCCCGCCCTGTCTTTCTCTCTCTCTCTCTCTTTCTTTCTTTTTTAAATTGTTCCTTCTATTGTTTGTTAGAAAATGTAGATGATAAGTTTTTTTTTTAAATCCTGTCTGCCCAGTTACTAGCTGTATTGCTTTGGGCATGTCATTTGAATATTCTTAGTTTCTTCAACTGGAAATGGCATCTACTAGCAGGTGCAGTGGTGTCAAGAAATACATGTAAATTGCCTTGTGTGATACTGTTTCCTTTCTTTCTATTAGTGTTAGCATGGTTATCTTTCTCCATCCCTTTACTTTTTTTTTTTTTTTAAGATTTTATTTATTTATTTGAGAGAGAATGAGAGAGAGCACATGAGAGGGGGGAGCGGGAGAGTGAGAAGCAGACTCCCCGCCGAGCAGGGA